ACAGGAAATCTCCCAAGAGTTTGGAAATAATTAATAAAGGACCCAAAACATGGTCTGTCTTTTTTTCTGAGTCGTAGTGCATTACAATGACTTCTTGGCAACGGTGTGGCGGTAGCCAGCAGACCATTACTAGGACGCCAACTCAGTTACTGTCTGTGGCTGGGGTGCTGCTGTGTCTTCTGAGCATAGATCTGGCTTAGGCTAACCCTTGTGTGAAGTGGCTCCATATGGGCTGAGCCTACAGTGTCCAAAACCATTGAGGTTGCAGAGGCAGTCTGACGCACAACAGCAGCAAGGGGCAGTCAACTCTATTTTAGCAATTACGTACATACAGAAGAGGGGCTGAGAAAATAACAAAACACAGTGTCGCTATTGGTCAGTCTGTCAATACACTCACTACTGTTAAGTGCCTTTTCAGATATAAAACATTCAGAACAAGAAGGGAGCCAAAACATTATTCTCTCGAAAGAGTTGTACGTGAATGATGAATCATCCTGAAAGGCATGCAGGGTGTTCAGACCTAAGCATAATTAGCTGTATTTTAGATGGTAAACCTCAAGTGTATCGTATTCATGCTGCTTTATTAGGTTCAAATGAATGGTGGTCTCAGTAGAAGAATTGATGATACCAGCATGACTAGTCATAGCATTAGCACAGATGTAGTTACATGCCATTAAATGTCATTACAACAATAGAGATATGATTGAGCCAATGAGCTGCAAACAAGCCAAAGCAAAGATAGTATGGGTTCTGACATGGTGGAAATGTGAAGCAGATGTACTCCTCTTATCCAAGACGCTGTCAGATGGCTTTATCAGCCCCAGGCCTCGGGGAACTGCCCCTTAACCCTGAACACTCCAAGAACTCTCTACCATTCGGATATTCAGACATCTGCTGGTGTACCACAATCTGAGGTAATTCACATTTTCTTTTTTTTCACCTAGTGTTGCTCAGCCCGTAGCTATGCATTTTACTCGTGCACAATTTTGTAAACAAAATATTACTTTTAGTCAGTGATTCATTTTAACCAATTCGATCAGATCTGATCGATTACAGAAGTTAATTTCCAGAATGAATGTTTTTTCTTTTTTCAGTCGCAAAGAAATTAAGTTGTTTTGAGGAAAACATTCCAGGAATTTTCTCCATGTAATGGACAACAGGCTGCTCTCCACGATCCCAGCCGAGGAGTAAGGGTATTATCTAGCAAAATTGTCATTTTCTTAAAAAAATTTAAATATATATACTTTTTAACCACAAATGCTTGTATTGCACTAGCTCTGCGATGCACATGCACAACTTCACGCATTGCATAATCGTGTTGGAAAAGTCACGCACATTTAGTTCTTTGTGTGTGTACTTTAGTTAAAAAAGGTAGGGTAGGGCGAAAAACTCCATCTCAAACTACATCCATTTTCTCCTCCAACTTAAAAATCATCTGACATTATTGTTTTACATTTTTTGTAAAGGCCATTTGACTTTGCACGTTCACTTTTATTACGTAATGTGTAAGATCGAGCTAGTGCAAGATGAGCATTTGTGGTTAAAAAGTATATACATTTATATTTTTCTTAGAAAATGACCAATCGTTTCACTAATAAGGGAAAATGACCAATCGTTTCCCTTATACTTTGGCTAGGATCAGGTAGAGCCCTTTGAAGCTGCAATGATACTGCAGTTTGGACCTTCAACCCATTAGCCACCATTGAAGTCCACTATATCGAGAAAAATCCTGAAATGTTTTCCTCAAAAACCTTAATTTCTTTTCGACTGAAGAAAGAAAGACATGAACATCTTCGATGACATGGGGGTAAGACAATTATCAGGAAATTTTCATTCTGGAAGCGAACTTCTCCTTTAACTGAATCAGTTGGAGGGGTTCTCAGTGGTTCTAAATGGGTTTCTATGAACCCTACAGTAGGTCTGGACAGAAGTGGTTTCAGAGAAGATTAGGTGATAGAGAAAAATGTGCATTCTTCATCCATACAACATGAATATGTGCACGGTGATCTGCAACTTTTCCTAATTTGCACCTTTATTATAAGGGCCTTGCAGGTAAGGAACAACTGTTATAGTGGAACCCCCACACTATCAAACTCATTACCAGGCAGAGCCCATATTATGCTCTTAAGCCCCTACGGCCTTTGGAGTCGGATCAACTGCAGATCAGAGAGTAAGTGTCAGGGCTGCAGTCCAACGCTAATGGCAAATAGAAGGATAAGAACCATATGACGAGCCCAAAAGCCTCAGTTCTTCTGCCACACACCTGGGGAGAAGTGAAGACTCTGGTTCGTGGCTAACAGAGCCCCAGATTTGACTTCGGCACTCCAGAATATCCATGAAACTTCACAAGGTGAGAGGACACTGGAGAATGACATCATCTGAGATGGCTTTTGGGGTCTTAACCTTGACTACTTAATCTCACAAGTCTCCATCCAACCTAGTCCTCACATCTTTTTCACATCTTCATGTAAAAGGGCTTTTATATGTTGGACTCTTTCACAGCTTTTTTCCTTGATGGCATTTGTTTCCATTTGCTCTTTATTATTCTCAAGACGTCCATTTCAGATTCTTTTATAGGCTGCTCAAAATGGTAATGATTTGAGATCCCAAACCGCCGACTGATTTAGAGGACTTGGAACCTGGCGGAGGAGTGCAGACTGGGTCGCACAGAGCATCCAAAGCCACAAAGGTACGCTAACTGACCCAAGCGCAAGTTTGGCCTTTGTTTATCTACAAGGTCTCCAACAGCTCTCCCTAACGTTGTTCCCCTCCGCTGCTTTCAGCACCCCTCCAGTCAGTTTATTTCTCTCCCACATCATCCTGCATGCTTCGGAAACACAGAAACCCTCCCCTACTAAGAATTCACATTTGTGATTCTGCACGAGCTTCTGCGCTCTCTTTCTTTACCTTCCTAATTGCAGTGTTGCTCAAGACAATGATTTCAAAACAGGGCAATTAGTGTAATGTTGGTGAATGGCTGGCATATGCGGATGTTTCCTATTAAAATCATTGTTGGCTTCAGTATCCAACTCAACTACTTTCTCTCTTGGCAGTGGAACCTCTCTTGCAAATGAGCTCTGTGAAACCTTAGCCCCCACTGGATTCAAAGATGTTGTATCACTGTATGCAGAGTAAGTCCAGATGAGTTGATTCCTCAATATGGAGGCGATTGCCAGACCACTGAACTGTGGTGAAGGTTTGGTATTAAGGACCATAGCAAGTGACTGGCTTTCACCTCTGATACTCTGAGACAATTTGAAAGATCTCCATCGTATGAAGTCTCAACATGATATGAGGTTCCTCCAAAGCTGAGATGATTCATTATGAGGGCATAATCCAGGTCAGTCCTTTTTATTGGAGCACAGTTGACTTTATGACTTTACACAGTTTGTATACTTAGTTTCAGACTTTTTGGTTTGATAAGGTAGCATTGGGTGTGCTCCAGCATAATTTTAGACTCTAAAGTTAATCTCTGCCATCTGCGAGCCAGCAACGTCTTTGGTTGTTGCCAGGCGAAGCTTCACAAATCATGCCAGGGTACTTTGCGACTGCTGACGCAAGAGCTCAAAATAAAATGGTCTTTTCCCTGCTTCACTCGATCAGAATGTGACTTAACCATTGAAGTGACTCGAGCATGACATGGTCAGATGGTTAGATGAAAGACTGAGGTGGTGGCTGCTTCCCAAGATTTCCTCATAATCATAATCTGAAATTTATGTCTGCTGCGTACGAGCAAAATCAAGAGGCCAAAATAGGTGCTGCTGTGCAGATACGCTTGAGAAAAGAATGAACTGTTGGGTGGGGGTTTCTGTTCTGCAAATCTTCATAATTACAGGTGTATTTGGTGGCTAGGATTTGGGGGATATGCGTCTTTGTTTCCATGTCCTCCATCTCTCAATACAGAAAATGCTAGAAACATAGAGAGGGTGCTGCCCGGATTCTTAATACAGACGAGTCGCCAGTCTCTCTCTAAAACCAACACATGGAATTCTCTCAGTCTTCTTTGATAATCCTCAGTCCTGCTCCCCCCACTGTTAACCTTTTTCTCAAAGCCTGCAGAGTAAAGGGGTGTCCTCAAAGCAAGCAGGGATCTACCATTGTCAGTCTGTAGGGGTGTTTTGATTAAGGGTGAGGTGAATGGTGGTGATTATTAGCCGTCCAGGGGAGCTTGAGCAGAAGCAGGCCAAGGCCTCTCCGTTTGTTTGCACAGGGAATATTGGTGTTTTGTCGTGGGAAAGCACAGCCTAGAAGACCGTCCTGGATTAAGACTTGGGGCTGAGGTGGCAGATAAAGTTTATTTTGGTTAATATCCACTGTACATACCTGATAATCTCAATAATGGAAACAAAACATCCACCATAATGACCTCAGCCACAAGGCAGCCCTTAACCTGTTGAGGCTCTCCTAAACAGCCTTCATCTGCAGTCGGAGAATACAAAGTGCAAAGGGAGCTCCCAGAGTCCTCTTATTTCCACTGGCGTGTGGTGAAAGGGGAATAAGGGGTGCGTGTGGAAGTATCCATGTGCATAAGTCAGAAGGAAAGGGGCACGTCTGGGTCCAACCTGACAATGAGAGCATATGGAAGTGATCAGCTGGCTGTTGGCTGGCATGACGTCTCCCGCACAGGGGCATTTTTGAAGAAGTGATGGAGTTGGAGGTACACATATCCTGCATGGCCTGTGATGGTTTCTGAACTCAATTAGATGGGAATGGAATTCTGGGAGAGTGGAGGAAGCGATCCGCATTCGCTCCCGGTAGTTCCCTGCAGGAGTGTTGAAGGAGGCCCACTTATGAACAAGGACACTGCTCAAGAAGTTGTGAAGAAAGTGACAGGAGAACAGCAATATGAAGAGACAACGGGGTTTGCCGGAGTTGATTGTTGATGCCAGATTTCCTATCATTCGGTTACAGTACAGTATTCAAACAAGACACGTAATCTGCAACAGTCACAGGTGTGTGAGAGACTCGGGGGGCTGTTTTGAAAATGAGATAATGTGGAAGTGTCAGGGCAACAGCAGCAGTAATCACATACTAGCAGATGGGAGTGCTCATGCTTGACTGAACAGCGTATACTGTCATCCGGCCTCACTATTAAGCTACAAAAAACCACATACCATAATCATATTGCCATCATCATTAAAAACAGTTGGGCATTGACCTCATTTCCTCTCTAATGGTTTTCCAATTGTTTTCTGACCATCTCACTGATTGTTTGAATAGATTATCAGTCTGTTTTAGGCTCAGAGAGAAGAAAAGGCCATTGGAGCATCAAGTGCTTAACCGAGAGGTACGATTTCAAAACTTTTTGTATTGTGATAAAATGCATTCTGAAAGCATGCATGCTCTTAAGAATGGTTTTAATATTTTAGGTTCATGTACAGGAAGCATAAAAATGATATATGCTACACACATCTTACACCATCTGTTTCAACGACAGTAGCTAATCTGGCAAAAGTGCATCTGTTGTTATGTCTGGAGTGATGATGCCATGCTATAAAAGCCAATTATTATGAATATGACCATAATTGAGAAGGTTGCTGCTGAGGTCATTTCCTGTCAGTACTGTGGCCCACCTCTCTGAGGGTGGTCAGTGAGAATGTGGGCCTCAGCATGTGAGCCTGTCTGGACTGTCTGGGGCCCTGATGGATCAACTCCCAAGGCAGCTCCTCATTCATCACGCAAAACAGCGTTTCACAAACACACACAGGAAAATTCTCTGTTGGTGCTTAGAGGTCTGTCTTGTAATTTCTTTTGACATCTGAAATTGTCACTCATTTCATCCAAATGTTTTTTTTCCTTCTTAGCGTGTAGGAGTTCCACTATCACATTATTGACAAGCGCGTGTGTTTAGCAAAGCTGACAATGATGAATGTGAGATCAGTGGGAGGTGATACAGCATTGTGCCTAATATTCTGTCAAATTCAATAACTATTTGTAGACGGAGCAACACATAAGGGAGGAGAAGTTTTGGAGGCAGAACGGACGGACTGATGGATTGACGGAGATGTGGTTTTGATTAATGACCACTCATCTTTCTTATTACTGATGATGGGTGTGAAATCTTCAGGTCCTCTTTCTGGTCCTTTACGTTAACCCCATGACAGATCGCTGTCGTCCAGTTGCATTGTTCTTAACGCTCACAATAGCAACCATAAAGGGCCACAAGCACTGCATGTCACACAGCTTTAGGTGGCCTCCATAACTCACGCTAGAATCTGACGTTTGACAAATGGTGTCACAGACTCTTCGGAGAACACTACCTGTCAAACTGTGATGTGTGAAACAATCTGTAGGGACATTCACACACTGTATGAGTTTACATTCGAGATGCATCTGATTCTTGAGACTTTCCAACCTGTAGATACTTTCTATCATGTCATCATGGTATCTTTCCTGAATTAAATCGCTGTGTTGCATACGCGCTATAAATTTGAATTTGGCTCAATCAAAACCACAGATTATTTCAAGATGAAATTGATCACCACAGTGTTTTCAAACACCTTTGTGGCATTTAATGTGTTAATGTGGAACAGATGTATGTGCATATGTGCATGAGTGAGAGAAAGAGTCTTGCTGGGTCTCACAGCAGTCTGTTTGCCAGGTCCTCACCATGTCCATCATCTCCCTACCAGTTAGTCCATCTGTAATCTAAATGGATAACTAGTTCATGCTTGCATACACACACACTCTGGCTCTGTAAAAGCCAATTTGGGAACATGCTTCATCTTTGGCACAATGGAAATTGTATGCATGACAAGTCTGAGCCGAGGACGTGGGGCCATAAAAACGTCTGGATTGCATTATTTCTTCAGATATCAGAAGCACTTTCCTCAAAGTAACGGTTTATCGGTCAACCAGATGCAAGAGAATATCCCTTTACATTCGTTTCAAAATATTTAGGAAGATATTTCATGCTTGGTGTTGTATTCATCCTTCCCCGGTCTTCTGTCAGCCACATGTCAGGCTTTTGGATCATGTCTCATTTTGTAAGTCAGAAGCAGATGACCTTTTTCTCACCCTCTCTCACTGGACTGAAAGGACCCCCTAACTCTCCATCAGACACCCCTTTCACTGACTGATGGATGAATTGGGACTGGTATCCCACCCCCACACCCAGATGGGCGATGTCCTGTTAGAATGGTTGGGAGGGGGTTGTACACGTGGGGCGAAACTCAAGCAGGCTAAATGAGAGATTGTCACTCATTCCAAACTCCCTCTTACCTGTCAATCATTTTGACAAATGAGAATTACATCATCAGGCATCTTGCGGGAGGGAATCCTTGGGGGTGTCACGGATTCACATGCATATGCATGTGTTTGGGTGTATGCATGTTTGTGTACTTTAGGCATCTAACCTAGTGGTTAATGTCGTAACTACACCGTGTGTTACTCAAAAAGCTTTCCTCTTTGATGCTATTAAGACGTTTCTTTCACACAGTATACAGCATATATTGCTAATATTATACTGTAGTAGTTTTCCTAATCTTTTTGGAAGTCTCCTAAAGTGTAAAATGTATTTACTTTATATTTCTCCCTGACTGCTTGCTTTGACGTCACAGCTCAGCATAGGTGCTATAGTGAATGGTTTGGAATTTGCACATTTTTGTGATGTCATCAGCTAACCAATATTGCATTTTTCCCCCTGCAGCTCCATAGTGATTGGTCACGTGATGATCAAGTGATGAGCGAAGATTTCATATCTCATATGGGGGTTATGCAACAGCCAAGCAACTGCCATTGAGGTGAATGGGAACGCTAAGGAAAAACATGCTCTCGTTAAGCACGCTGATATTGAGCTTAAGCCTTTTTAAGGGCAAATAAATTTGTGTGTCATCAGTGTAAAAGTGAAATTGACACCCCATGTTTAGAAAGAACAGTACCCAAAGGAAGCATATAAAACGTGAACAAAACAGGGGCCAGAATAAAGCCCTGAGGGACTCCATAATCCGAAACAGAAGAAGAAAAACCCATCAAGACAAACAGGAAAGAGTTCTATCATTCAAATAGGACATAAACCAATTAAGAGCACAACCTTCAATACCCACATATTGTTCAAATTGTGAGATAAGAATTCATTGGTTCACAGCATCAAAGGCACAACGCACAGAATCCCCTGTGTCAACAGACAACAAAATATCATTAAAAAAAAAAAACTTTTAATAAAGCTGACTCAGTACTGTGATATCAATTGATTTTAGTCAGTTTTACAAATTGACAAAAATGGCATCTAACTTAAGCCATTGAACATCATTATGTGCAGATGCACATTGTAATATTAAGTTTGTTGAAATTAAATTTTGTTTGACAATGAATGTTTTTCATCTAGTCTTTGTTAGCATTGCCAAAAAAATTGCAGTAATTTCATTGATAACTTTATTAACACGTCTGCACTCTAATTGCAAGTATTTGACATCTAGAGTTTGATGTGCAATTTGCAACCATTCTGGATGTCCTTGAAACACTTTCCATTCAGCATTCAACAATGAATCTATATTGAATGTGATAGTGTATTTTGACCTTTGAAATAAAAACAAGTTGTGTAACGAGAGTATGAATTATTCCAAAGTAAATCCAACTCCAGCACATTTCACACAGAAGCAAAATATGACAAAGCTAATGACCTCTGCTGTCTTCAGAATTAACGACTCTGTTGAATCAATCAGGAAATTAGTTCTTAAATATTATTCTGTCATGCTTGTCATTATTGGAGCAATCAAAATGATCAAGTTACAGTCGTTGATTAGAATATTTTTCTACACAGAGTGGGTCAATTTTCTGTTCGTGAAGCACAAGATGTTCTTATTATCTCAGTCTCCAACACGTTCAGCTTTTTTCCACTGCTCTTTTATTACTGTCAGATGCTTTCTGATTGTGGTGTCTGTTCTTAAATGAGATTTAATAGCATAGCAGATTTTGCCAGCTTTAAAGCACTGACCTGTGAAAGGATATCCCTTTCCATGCGCAACTACTTGTCGGTTGAGTAATCGTCTTCTCTCCAATTTCTCAACCTCTTCTTTGGTTGCTCTTTTTTTCAGTGGTGTTCAAGCATGGACGAGATAATCAAGGAGGTGCTCTGACGTTGGCTAGCCACGGGTTGGAGAGGTTGTGGATGAGAAAATCGTAAGGGAGGTAAATCTGGAGACCAAATGTTGTTTTGGTCTTGTTGTGCTTGTAAAGAGCTGAAATTACAAACATAAGAAAGCAAGATTGAGGTCAGAAATGGGAGTCCGTTGGTCTGAGTGTGAACGAGAGCGAAAAGCAGCAAGAGAAGAGAAGGATGGGAAAAGGAGAAAGTTTATTGAGATGATGCAAAGCAGTAGAGCCCAGCAGTGAGGTTCTGGACGTAAAAATCCTGTTCATTTTTCTCCATAGAAAATGTATTATTTGAAGAAATAATGTATGATTTTTTTTTTTTTATAAACCTATATGTGCTTTTTTATATTTAATAGCCAAATTCCCAGTGAAGAAATACACTACCCATAATCCTCAAGTGAGATGCATTCATTTGATGCAGTCATTGTTACAATGGTAACTGGAACAGCAGCAAAACAAATCCGTATTGACCACCCAATCCCATAAAATATTGCAAATGCATTTGACTCTCCAAATGTATTTTATTTTAAATGATCTTGTATGTAAATATATTAATTATAGTTTTATATTGTATAACTGTTTCTGATTTGTCTAAATTTCTACGCTGTAAAAAGCGATCAGTTGACTTTACATAAAAAAAAAATTGAGGAAACCCGTTGCCTTAAAATTATTAAGTAAATAAACTTCATGCATAATGAATGAAATAAGTTAAGTAAACTTGAAAATTCTGAGTTACACTGACAAATAACAGTTTGAAAATGTGTTGTTCACTTTTTATTTTAAGTTGGACTAATTTAAATTTATTAAATTGCAATTACTTAAAAGTGTGAATCTACTTCATTTAAAACTATTAAGTTAATATGAGATCTGTCTACTTAAACCCGTTGCCTTGAAAAAATTAAGTAACCACAACGTAATACGGGTAATTACAATTTACTTGTGACTGATTTGCTCTTATTTTATCAATTTCTGTAAAGTTGAAAATTGTAGGCTACTAATACAATTCTTGAAAACACAAAACTGTTCAAAACAGACTGCACAAAAACATTTCTATGAAGAACTGTGAAGTCAACTCACCCTTGTTTATATATACACTCTTAAAAATAAAGGTGATTCACGATGCCATAGAATAACCTTTTTGTCTAAATGGTTCTATAAGGAACCTTTAACATCTGAAGAACCTTTCTATTTCATAAAAGGTTCTTTGTGGCAAAATAAGGTTCTTCAGATTATAAAAAGGTAAGAAAGAGATGGTTCTTTAAAGAACCTTTGACTGAATGGTTCTTTGTGGAACCAAAAATGGTTCTTCTATGGCATCACTGTGAAGAAACGTTTAAGCACCTTTATTTTTAAGAGCGTAGCACTTCATAGATTCCGTCAAAGCAGCTTTTGTTAAAAAGAAAATTGGTGTGTTGAAAATGCAAACAAAATTCAGTTCTGCTGTAAAGCAGCTCTAAAAGTGGACGGTAATAAACAGTCAATTTTTGAATTAAAGTCAGTTCATTGTTGATTCAGTGATGCCATCTCAGTTTGTGCAATCAAGTCGATAATACTCCCAAAAAATAAGTGTCCCCAACTAAGAAAGCCAAAAGTGACAGTGGCAAGGAACCAAAACTCCTATGAAAAGAATGGAGAAAAAAACATTGGGAGAAACCAGGCTCAGTCAAAAGGCCAGTTCTCCTCTGGCCAGATGAAACCAGCAGGATGTGGTTTTTAGTGGTCTTTGCTGATGGCCGTCTAGTTGACGAGGTCTTTGCAGGTGGCTTAGCACCAGTCCTTTAACTCCGTCATCCCAGTGTAATAGTTTCTGTAAACAGTTGTGGGATGAATCTTGACATTTTTGTTGTGTTTATTAATACAACTACAACTGAACAAAATAAATGAATAAATTGCTCCACTGTGCCACACGTGGTTAATGTGCAAATTTCCATTTAGTCAACTCTGTCAGATGTCAGCTCCATCAGGTTTTATGACAGATGGAGTTGACATGCTCACACAATCCTGATATATGTTTTGCATATAGGGAATTATTTTAATGTTTTTTTCATGATTTTATTTACATACATATTTGGCCTGATTTACATGCCGTATGCAGGTCATGCACAAATACCATTTCATATCTGATGGGGTTCAAAGACAGGCTTCAGATCATTTGGATTCATATTAGGAACAGGGCAGGGCTGCACATATTAATGCTGACCATTACACTGAAACGAACATCAGCATCTTGTATTTTGTGAGCAACTGGAGACTCAGTTTGAGTCATCCACTAGAAGGATCACTGTATTAAATTAAATATCGGTTTAAAAATTAGTTAGTTGTCTTAATTTGTTGTCAGTTGTTGTAACCTCAGTTGGACCTTTGTCAACTCCATCAGTTTTTGACACTGTCAGATGAAGGTTTCTGTTAATTTGAAAATAAAGATTTTATTTTATTCTTTTTTTTTTTTCAATGTATTGTTTTAAAATAGTAAAACATGAACGGAACTACATGATAATATGTCTGATTTTTCAAAGAACATTGGTTATATATGTTTAATATGGAAAAGGAGGGTAGACTATTAAGAAATTTAGGAACTGGATTGTTCATATTAGTGTGAAAATGGGGGTGGGGGATGTAGAGGATGTATTTGATCACTTCAGCTCCTTTACTAAATGCCATTATTACATAATTGAAGACTTTATGCTGTTATATTTGATCCACCCAATTTGATAAATATCATGCTTTTTAATGCATCTGACGGAGTTGACACAATTTAAGTTATGAAGTGAATAAACGTACATTTTTACAAAAAATAAAAAAGATCAGAAAATCCTGTTCCCTTACATGGTTCATTAGTGGAGACCTTAATATATACATTTATAATAATGCATCATTAAATAATAAAAACTAACATTTTAAAACATGTTTTGTCCCTTATCATAAGAATCAGTGATTTTATATATAGGCTATAGCTTTTATATTTGATCTGAAATGAAAGGGGCAGGGACTCAAGACCCTCTGTACCTCTGAAAGAAGATTAGGCACAGTAAAACTTCAGCCTAGATCACATTTGTTGCTTCGCACACAATCAGATTTCATCAGGATGAATTTGAGATGAGCAGTACATGCTCATACCAGCTAGCTCAACTGCCAAGGGTGCGAGAGCAAACCCATATTTGCCACCATGCAGTTCCCAACTGTTCTCTGTGCCCAGAAAGAGAGATGAGTTTTGGGGCTTCTCAGTCACAGTTGCTTGCTTAATCTTTTGAATGATTTTAAAATAAACGAGGATAACAACAAAAAATAGATTAAAAAAAAAAAAAATCAGTGGGCTGCTAGCTTTAGTAGTCAAGATGTGTGTGAAGATAAACCCCCTGATTTCTCAATCGCTTTTTTTCTCTCCTGCTGTCTTTCTGATTTTCAGTGGGCTACAGAAACCCAGTGCTAAATGTCAAAAACAGGCCTGGATTGTTGAGCTTGCCTGGCTCAGTTATAGCTCACCTGGCGTCTTGTCTTTCTTTGTTCAGCTGTTGTGTCTGCACTGATATTTTAAGCCCATGTTTTTAGACGTTTAAAGAAAGACCTTCCTCTACAAACAAATTTTCCAGAAATGAATGCAGCAAGTATTTGCTATCCTGCATGTTTTTATTTAAAGGAACAGTTCACCCAAAAAGCTGAAAATGCCCTCACTCTTATGCCATCCAAGATGTAGAGGAGTTTGTTTCTTCATCAGGTTTGGAGAAATGTAGCATTGCATCAGTGTCTCAGCAATGGATGCTCTGCAGTGAATGGGTGCCGTCAGAATGAGAGTCCAAACAGCTGATAAAAACATCACAATAATCCACAAGTAATCCACAGCACTCCAGTTCATCAGTTAACATCTGGAGAAGACAAAAGCTGAAACAAATCCATCAAGACATTTTTAACATCTGGTGAAAATACGAGTCCATAATAATGCGCAGTGCATCTCCTGTTATCTCTCACATCAAAATCCAGCCACATATTTGTTTAGAGCTGTTTTGGATTGTAAACAGTGCTTGATCTGTACTTTTTACTGGAGGAAGTGTTATGGATTATGGACTCGTATTTTAGTTAAAAACATCTTAATGCTGGATTTGTTTCAGCTTTTGTCTTCTCCAGATGTTAACTGATGGACTGGAGTGCTGTGGATTACTTGTGGATTATTGTGATGTTTTATCAGCTGTTTGGACTCTCATTCTGACGGCACCCATTCACTGCAGAGCATCCATTGCTGAGGCACTGATGCAATGCTACATTTCTCCAAAGCTGAGGAAGAAACAAACTCATCTACATTTCGGATGGCCTGAGGCTAAGTCATTTTTTAGCAAATATTCATTTTTGGGTGAACTGTCCTTTAATATCCTCAGGTGATAAGTGCATGCGTGGGAAATCTCATCTGCTTAGTCACTGAGATGTTCGAGGCTGTAATCAGTGTCAGCTCATCTTCCAGGGAGGCCAACAATGTGTCTGGTCTGACTCTTGGTGGTCTTTGATCTCTGAGGCTACCAAGTTGTGGTTTATGAAATCATAAAGAGTTTTAATTGCTCCACCCATTTCCACATATAAAGACAAACATGCACAAACACACATGCACAGGCTTCCTCAAGCACATAAAGTTCACGCAGTGCGTCAGGTGGTGAAAGTGTTTGGAAAAGTGTGTGTGTGAGAGAGATAGGAAGAGATAAAAAGTGACGAATTGCTGCATCTGTTGGCTGTGCAGTGCATGCCTCTGCTAATCTCTAGTGATATATGCACCGTCAAGACATTAAGCCGTGCAACTTGTGGGGTTATGTGAGTGTGTGTTTGTGCATTCACACATGTATTATGCACTAAGTAGGTCACACTTCCAATAGGTCTATGTCCGTATGTCTCTGTCTGTCACCTGAATCACAATATGAGAAAAATCCCCATCTTATTTTGACTTCTAACTTGTGTGTGTGTGTTTAACTACAAAGACTACAAAGAGCGTTTGCTCTGATGATAGGGGATTATGGGTAACGTTTGCATCTGTCGGGGCTGCAGTGAGTCAGTGG